AGTGAAAGTCTTTAATCAATGGTTTACAGAGAATTATTTTGGTAAATTGCTAACTATTTTTCGAATGTCAACTTTCATAATTATGTTTTTTCTATTAGATTATCCACTCATATCAACAATAAGCAATTCAGTCTTTCATTAATTAAAAAATTCTTATATCCCTTAGAAATAGTAACTTGCTCACATATTGAACTAACCCTTTTACATAATATATGTTAATTAATTTTTCTAAAAATTTAATATTCTTAATTTGATCCTTCATTAAATTAGAATATTGTATATTATATCTACATAGTTAGTATTTCATGATATATATGTTCTTAGATATAGATATAATTAATTAAATCACTTTAATATTTTAGCTAATAATATAATGACCCTAACACATTTAATTATATATATTGTCCATTGATTACATCCACATATAAAACCAAAACAGTCTTTCATTGCATTAATCGCAACTAAACTTGACAATGATGATTAATGTTGAGAGAATCAAATAACATAGACTCATCATAAAATGTGTAATGAAAATTAAGTGAAAGTGATTTCTACACGTTTATTTCCAACTAGTACTTACTTTATCTCTATAAGATCCATATAATACCTTAATATCCAGAGTGTAATTTATGAATAATAAATCATATATTTATAAAATCAAATATGTCCAAAAGACAATGTATGCCTACATAAAAATAAACATAGAACATAAAATACAAAACACAATAAAAGTGACTAACTCTCACTAAACCAAAGATTCCTAAAATAGAAAAACATTCATATGAGCAACATGCTCATGAAAGACATTGGATGGAAGTCCCTTAGTAAGAGGATCTGCTATCATGAAGTTTATCCATAAGTGTTTTATGAAATTTTGTGCATTATGTATCATTCCTTTAACTACCAAGAACTTTATGTAAATGTATTTTGACTTGCTCGAGCTCTTGTTGTTGTTAGAATATAATACAACTTATTTGTTGTCACAGTATAACTTAAGTAGTCTTTTAATTCCTTCCATAATGTGTCTTTGTGACAAAGTTCCTCAAACATATTTCTTGATTTTGATACCTCATAACATGTTACAAATTCAGCAACCATAATGGATGAAGTCGTAAGGCTTTTCTTGGTACTGCACCAAGAAACCGCACCACCAGCTAGCATGAAAATGTAACCTGAAGTGGATCACAAAATGTCTTGGCATCCTGCAAAAATCAAAGTTAGAATACCCAATGATCTCTAACTAGTGTGACCTCTTGTATATGAGCATATAATCCTTTGTTCTCTTGAAATACATCATAACTCTTTTGGTTGTTTTCCAATTATCTAAATTGCTTAATATTTTACCTAATACCCTAACTATGTATGTTATATTCGAACATCTACATACTTAGGCATACCTCAAACTCTCTACAACTGAAACATGGGGAATCTTTTGCATTTCTTAAGTTTCCAAATTTTCTTTTGCACATTGATTGAGATTGGATGTGTCTTCTTTAGCAAGTGGAGTACCTTCTGATTTACAATCTTACCTACCAAACCTTTTAAGCACATTTTCGACATGGCTACTATGTGATAATCTTAGAATACACTAAGGTTGATCTTAAGGTAAAAAGTTATATACATTACCGATAGATTTTTTCCATCGGTAATGTTTCCGTCCGTAAAATCCGTCACTAAGATAAATTTACAACATATATATTTTCATCGGTAAAATTTTGTCTGTAACTTCAAGACTTTTGTATCATAATGTGAACAAGAGTAATGATTGTTCTAAAAGAGTCTTTCGGTTAAACTAGAGAGATAATCTCTTTAAAGTCAGTCCTTTCCTTTTGAGTATAATCCTTCACCACAGGATGAACCTTATACCTCTTCACATTACCTTTGAAATCTCTTAGTCTTTAATATTAACTCACTACCAATGAGTTTCACACCTTATGGTAATGGGACAAATTCTCAAACCTTATTGTCTTGCATGGACATATCCTCCCCATTCATTGCTTCAATCCATTTTTCTGAATTAGGATCTTGCATGGCTTGATGAAAGTTGATTAGGTCATCTTCCATCATACCATTATTTTTCTTATTTTCTTGGAGAAATATCACATAATTATCAGGAATAACACTTTTTCTTTCTCTCATGGATCTTCGTAAAGATATTGGCTCATGAAGCACAAGTTCTTAAGGATATTGAGTTTGTTCTTGTAGAGATTATTAACTTGCTAAAGGTTTTAGACTTGCTTCATCAAAAGAAACTGTATGAATAGGATCTAGAATTATCATTGATTTCTCCTCTAAGATAGTCGTTAACCTTATTCTTCCCCCCCCCCCAAAATTTATAGTCAATGATATCATTGTTTTGTTCTATTTACACTTAGTACCACGCAATTTCGTATTTAAGGATTCACTATTGGAATTCACTGTATCATGTATATATAGATTATCATTAGTCAAAAGTAAATCGATTCCAACAACATTTAAATTTAAAGATAATATGAACTCATTGTTTCCAAATGAACATAAATAACCTACTTTTGTCAACATAAGAAACTAAAACTAAATTTTGTCTAAATAAGGATACAACCAAATTATCTTTTCAAATACAAATAAAAAACTAATACACAATAATAATCTAAAATGTCATATAACTTTCACTTCCACCGATTTGTCATCTCCAACATATATTCATCTTTTAGAATCAATTGGCTTTCGGTAGCTTAGGCAGCCCTTTCTTTGCACACCAAGCATAATATTTTGTACAATTCTTCTTTACGTGTCTAACTTTATTACAAAAGAAACATTTATCATCTTGTTTGTCTTCCTTTTGCCCTTGTCTACTTTCGTCCCTCCTCTTCTTGTACAATAACACCCCTAAAGATCTCTGGAATGCTATGCTTAATGATCATGAGACTCATGCAATTTGAGGGGTCTCATTTCTCATATTTTTTCCTCTCGTCAGAGGTACTTGAGTATGTAAGAGAAAGAGTTTTCTCAATCCTTAATGCAAGGTTGAGATCCATGCAGCCAAGAATTATCTCCATGTTCTCGTCCTTAAAAATGTTTTCATTGAGGACCGAAACTGAATTTATATTAATAGATATTGAAGCAATTGTAGTTGTTTTTAGAATAAGAGAAACAAAGGAATTAAACCCATATAGTAAACTAGTGATAACTGATCTCAAGATACCTAATACACCATCAATATCAAATCTTTGGACGATAAGATTAATTATTAGGAGTATCTTGGTGTAATGATCAAACATTGATACTAAAGCATGTCCAATAACAATCCTATCTTTAGTTTTATTTATCATTGACAAGCAAAACCTTACAATTATCACACTTTTTTTATTAGATGTGTGTAACATCCCAGAAATATAGCTTTAAACTATACTTAAGAGTCCTTACATTTACAATAAACTAGAACAATTACATGAAATAAAATTAACTTACAGTTATCCTAAATATAACCATAAATTTAAAACTTTAAAGAAACCTATACTAAAACAACCATAAGAACAGACTGATCGGTCATACAAGAGGTGTATCAACCGAACAGTCCTATACTGAATAAAAATAAAAACAAGCACAAGACCGAACGATTTTACTCTAACGGAAACCATCCTCTCCTATCAGCGCCTGCTCTAGAGAACCATCCTCACCTTATGCTCACACCCATAGGGCGATAATTGCACTTACAAAGAAGACCGANGCCTAAAGTACCCACTTATTTTGCCTTTACTACCACTGTTGTTTCTGCACCATGAGTTTTACTAAATATGGTTCCTTTGCCATGGAATTCTATATAAATGACATAATAATTGATTTCACATCACTTATAAGTTTAAAAAATGATGAGAAATAAATTAGGTAGTCCAAAATGAGTGTCATCTTCGTCGTTGACCTGCCTGTGCAAGACCTTTGCCTTAAGTACCCGCTTATTTTGCTTTTGGTACCAATGTTGTTTGTGCAACATGAGTTTTACTAAATATGGTTCCTTGGCCATGAACTTCTATATAAATGGCATACTATGTGGTTTCACATCACTTTTAAGTTGAAGAAATGATGAGAAATAAATTAGGTAGTCCAAAATGAGTGTCATCTTCGTCGTTGACCTGCATGTGCAAGACTTTTGCCTTAAGTACCCGCTTATTTTGCTTTTGGTACCAGTGTTGTTTGTGCAACATGAGTTTTACTAAATATGGTTCCTTGGTCATGAACTTCTATATAAATGGCATACTATGTGGTTTCACATCACTTTTAAGTTGAAGAAATGATGAGAAATAAATTAGGCAGTCCAAAATGAGTGTCATCTTCGTAGTTGACCTGTCTATACAAAACTTTTTCCTGAAGTACCCAGTTATTCAAATTAAAGGTGTTTGGACATGATACTCAATATTTAAAGTTGGAAACATTTATGTTCAAGTCAGTGTTGATACTCAATATTTAACGTAACTCTCCACTTATTTGAACTATGCTCCCACACCTATATTGAAGGTATATTTCTTTATTTTTAACATCATTTGGTTACTTAGGCAGTATGTTTTGATCATGATGGGGTGTCCTTGTTCAAACTAAAGGTGTTTGTACATGATACTCAATATTTGAAGTTGGAAACATTTATGTTGAAGTGAGTCTACCCTGGTGTGCATAACTACTAACGTAACTCTCCACTTATTTGAACTATGCTCCCATAACTTCATAATCTCGATTTTCTATTTCTTTTAAGTCTATCTAAGCATATCAAAATCGCTAATATGTGATGGTATTATTAAAAAATAAAATTTAAACAAACAGTCCTATTACTAAACAAATTAATAAAAAAATTCACAATTTCGTCACATTTTCATTATGCTTAATTTGAAAGTCATCATCATAATGATTGTACAATTTAGACAATTTAGATATTAAAATTTCTCTATGAAAAAAGTCATTCATTACAAAAAGGAATGCTTAGGGAACAAAGTCGTCACATGGCTAGCTAGCTACTTGTAGAATACTCGACTTAGGTGATTTTTCTAGCCTTTTTAATTTCTATACACACGTGAAGAAAAAAATACTTCCATAATCTAAGGTCTGAAGAATGATTTTGAAATCATATTACAAACAGAAAATACATCAGAAATATTTTTGTAATTTCATTGCAGTTGAATGTAGATATTCTAACCATATCTCGATTATTTTATTTCTTTTTCCAATTTTAATAACAACATATAACTCACCCTTTATAATCAGAAAAAATTATCAAATCAAACACATTAACTTACTGTTTGATAAACTGGAGGTATAATCCTTAAACATATGTATATATATACACCTACGAAAGAACAATGTTTAAAAAAGGTTTTGTTCTATGTACAAATCTAAAAGAAAATCCAAGGGAATGGGTAATTTTTCAAAAAGGTACACAATTGGCACCCATTCCCATGTTCTGTCGTAAGCTTTAAATTCACTTGACCTCCTCATCTATAATGATGCTGTGGATTTCAGAATTAGGTGATAGTTTGAACTTGAGAATCTTGTGAAGCTGACAAAAAGGTTTCACTTGCTTTGTTGTAGTTTGACTTGAATCAATTAGTCTTGTTATAGAGAAAAGGTTCACTTCAAATGATCCTGTCTCTTCATGAACCACAAGGGCATCTGCATGTTATCAAATAACTTAATTTAAAGGGGGAAGTAAATCAAATTAAAACTTAGTTCCATAAAATCATGTCTTCCATAAAACATGAGCATCTTAACAATTTGAAAGGCATCGTTACTGAGTGATTAAAGGATTATTATTATTCTGAAAACATATATAATTCAACAATTGATTGACAGATAGAAATAAATTAGAATAAATATAGAAATAGAGATATTCTTCATTGCTAAATCTTCTACAAGTTCATTTTAAAGTTTACTCGAGACTATAGCTGCACCATGGGTGGAGAAGCAATAATACCAACTTCCAAATATAGATTACAGTTACATGATCTATTACTGCTATATAAACGGATGGATGGAGAGTTAATTAACGGATGCTACTAAACATGCCGACAGATAGAGCAACTGAGAGAAATTTGGGAAAAAATATAAATAACAACATTGTAGGAAAATGTCCATGATTTTCAATCTCAATGAAGACAGGAACTAAGACATTGTAAATCTTTTACTTACACAGGAAATGCGGAAGAATCAGATTAGCAACCTAGACAACACAAAACTATAAAAACAAAACATTGATGGGAATATCTTTCAAGGGAGGAACTACAGACTTTTAGGTGCTTATAGAACTATACAATAGAACCATACAACAAAACATAGATGGAAGGGGATATATTCTCCCATCTTAGAGTTCCAACATTATCAATCCCTTACATTACCCAACATATTCTCACAAGAATAACAACCAAAATTAACATGGAAAGATCTTTTGAGGACTAGAGATTTTCTAATTACTATATAACCATAAAACAAAAATGTGAAGGAGCAACATGGTATTCTGCTAGAAAGTTCAACTGACCTCGCTCGGTAGCGTGAGACCCTTGACAAGATGAATCCAGCCAATAGCCACATAGACCAGGGTTTCCAATGAAACTGCAAATAAAATGTGACGTCAAAAAAAGCCAATAGCCACAACTCCATAAATCTCAAAACAATAACTCCACAATCATACTTACATCAAACAAAGTCCAAAATACAAATAATGTTATTTAACATATCAATGAAACAATAAATTTTTTGCAGAAATAAGCATTAAAAACTTACAAGTTTGGTTGGCTTGGAGTGTGCAAGTGTTGTACCTGCAACGTAGTTGACCTGGTTGTGCAAAACATTTGCCTGCAGTCCTCACTTATTTTGTCTTTGCTACCACTGCAGTTTCTGCACCATGAGTTTTACAAAAAAATGGTTCCTTGGACATGGAATTGTATATAAATGGCATAATGATTGTGTCAAAAGAACTAAACCAGTAAATGGTCAAAAAAATTAGAAAAAAACTTCATACTTTCCACCCAAAAACGCCATCAACCACTAAATCTTCTACACAACTTCAACCCACACTTAACCATACCTTGAAAGGGTCCGGCGACACTCCGGCGATGCTCCGGCAGCCACCGCAAGGGTCCTCTATTCCATAAATTTTGGTACTTGGGACAAACATTTTCAGTATCGTCGTACCAATAATGTTTATGTTCTCATGTCCATAGTATCAATCACCACACAATTTATTTATTCAACAAAGGGTATTAACAAACCACCAACATCATACATAAATCACATTCCACCGCCATCCAACATGTCATATTTGTACACCTTACAAACACCATATCATACATAAGCAACATCGTACATAAACAACATCATACATCTATTACAAATTCATTCCACTCAATACAAATAAACAAACCTTTAATGAACACGATTGCCAGTGGGTCCGACACAGGGAACGAAGAGGGTGGGAGGAACGAACGCTGAAAACGGGCGCTTGGTTGGCTGGGTCGAACGAAAGGAGGTGCGGCGACCGTCAATGGGAACGGTATAGGTCGAACGAAGCGGGTGGGAGGAACAGACGCTGAAAACGGGCGCTTGGTTGGCTGGGTCGAACGGAAGGAGGTGCGGCGACCTTCAATGGGAACGCTATAGGTCGAACGAAGAGGGTGGGAGGAACGGACGTTGAAAACGCGCGCTTGGTTGGCTGGGTCGAACGGAAGACGAAGACGGAGCTGCGGCGACCCTCAATCAGAACGGTATACGTCGAAGAAGACGAGCTCCGACGGCAGTCGTGGCTGGGTCGAACAGAAGACGAAGACGGACCTGCGGCGACCCTCAATGGGAACGCTATAGGTCGGACGAAGACGGACTCCGGCGGAACTCGTGGGTGGTCGGAGGAACTGGTCCGAGGAAGACGGACTCCGACGACACTCTCGCTCTAGGGTTCCCGCTCTCTCTCAACCTTCTCTTCTCTCTCTCCCAATGCCCCAACACGGACTCCGGCGGAACTCGTGCCTGATCGGACAATGACGAACTCCGGCGGCACACCTGGATGGTCCGAGGAAGACGGACTCCGGCAGAACTCGTGGGTGGTCGGAGGAACTGGTCCGAGGAAGACGGACTCCGACGACACTCTCGCTCTAGGGTTCCCGCTCTCTCTCAACCTTCTCTTCTCTCTCTCCCAATGCCCCAAATTCAAATTGCCAAAACTGAAAATGAAACCCTCCAATTTCAAACCTCTCTGCCACTTGAGTGCATTTCCACGTCATATAAAATTCTGAAATCATTTTCCACCTGGACCAATGGCATTTTGACACGTGGCCCGTGTCAAAATGTTGTCAAAACTGGTTGTCGAAGTATCATTTCCCTTATTTTTATGTAAGTCAGGATTTTAATGGGTTATTTTTCAGTTGATATTATATTCCTCCTACTCAAGGTTATTTCTTCATCATGTTAGTGAAAGTCTTTTTAATCAATGTTTACAGAATTATTTTTGGTAAATGCTAACTATTTTTCGAATGTCAACTTTCATAATTATGTTTTTTCTATTAGATTATCCACTCATATCAACAATAAGCAATTCAGTCTTTCATTAATTAAAAAATTCTTATATCCCTTAGAAATAGTAACTTGCTCACATATTGAACTAACCCTTTTACATAATATATGTTAATTAATTTTTCTAAAAATTTAATATTCTTAATTTGATCCTTCATTAAATTAGAATATTGTATATTATATCTACATAGTTAGTATTTCATGATATATATGTTCTTAGATATAGATATAATTAATTAAATCACTTTAATATTTTAGCTAATAATATAATGACCCTAACACATTTAATTATATATATTGTCCATTGATTACATCCACATATAAAACCAAAACAGTCTTTCATTGCATTAATCGCAACTAAACTTGACAATGATGATTAATGTTGAGAGAATCAAATAACATAGACTCATCATAAAATGTGTAATGAAAATTAAGTGAAAGTGATTTCTACACGTTTATTTCCAACTAGTACTTACTTTATCTCTATAAGATCCATATAATACCTTAATATCCAGAGTGTAATTTATGAATAATAAATCATATATTTATAAAATCAAATATGTCCAAAAGACAATGTATGCCTACATAAAAATAAACATAGAACATAAAATACAAAACACAATAAAAGTGACTAACTCTCACTAAACCAAAGATTCCTAAAATAGAAAAACATTCATATGAGCAACATGCTCATGAAAGACATTGGATGGAAGTCCCTTAGTAAGAGGATCTGCTATCATGAAGTTTATCCATAAGTGTTTTATGAAATTTTGTGCATTATGTATCATTCCTTTAACTACCAAGAACTTTATGTAAATGTATTTTGACTTGCTCGAGCTCTTGTTGTTGTTAGAATATAATACAACTTATTTGTTGTCACAGTATAACTTAAGTAGTCTTTTAATTCCTTCCATAATGTGTCTTTGTGACAAAGTTCCTCAAACATATTTCTTGATTTTGATACCTCATAACATGTTACAAATTCAGCAACCATAATGGATGAAGTCGTAAGGCTTTTCTTGGTACTGCACCAAGAAACCGCACCACCAGCTAGCATGAAAATGTAACCTGAAGTGGATCACAAAATGTCTTGGCATCCTGCAAAAATCAAAGTTAGAATACCCAATGATCTCTAACTAGTGTGACCTCTTGTATATGAGCATATAATCCTTTGTTCTCTTGAAATACATCATAACTCTTTTGGTTGTTTTCCAATTATCTAAATTGCTTAATATTTTACCTAATACCCTAACTATGTATGTTATATTCGAACATCTACATACTTAGGCATACCTCAAACTCTCTACAACTGAAACATGGGGAATCTTTTGCATTTCTTAAGTTTCCAAATTTTCTTTTGCACATTGATTGAGATTGGATGTGTCTTCTTTAGCAAGTGGAGTACCTTCTGATTTACAATCTTACCTACCAAACCTTTTAAGCACATTTTCGACATGGCTACTATGTGATAATCTTAGAATACACTAAGGTTGATCTTAAGGTAAAAAGTTATATACATTACCGATAGATTTTTTCCATCGGTAATGTTTCCGTCCGTAAAATCCGTCACTAAGATAAATTTACAACATATATATTTTCATCGGTAAAATTTTGTCTGTAACTTCAAGACTTTTGTATCATAATGTGAACAAGAGTAATGATTGTTCTAAAAGAGTCTTTCGGTTAAACTAGAGAGATAATCTCTTTAAAGTCAGTCCTTTCCTTTTGAGTATAATCCTTCACCACAGGATGAACCTTATACCTCTTCACATTACCTTTGAAATCTCTTAGTCTTTAATATTAACTCACTACCAATGAGTTTCACACCTTATGGTAATGGGACAAATTCTCAAACCTTATTGTCTTGCATGGACATATCCTCCCCATTCATTGCTTCAATCCATTTTTCTGAATTAGGATCTTGCATGGCTTGATGAAAGTTGATTAGGTCATCTTCCATCATACCATTATTTTTCTTATTTTCTTGGAGAAATATCACATAATTATCAGGAATAACACTTTTTCTTTCTCTCATGGATCTTCGTAAAGATATTGGCTCATGAAGCACAAGTTCTTAAGGATATTGAGTTTGTTCTTGTAGAGATTATTAACTTGCTAAAGGTTTTAGACTTGCTTCATCAAAAGAAACTGTATGAATAGGATCTAGAATTATCATTGATTTCTCCTCTAAGATAGTCGTTAACCTTATTCTTCCCCCCCCCCCCCAAAATTTATAGTCAATGATATCATTGTTTTGTTCTATTTACACTTAGTACCACGCAATTTCGTATTTAAGGATTCACTATTGGAATTCACTGTATCATGTATATATAGATTATCATTAGTCAAAAGTAAATCGATTCCAACAACATTTAAATTTAAAGATAATATGAACTCATTGTTTCCAAATGAACATAAATAACCTACTTTTGTCAACATAAGAAACTAAAACTAAATTTTGTCTAAATAAGGATACAACCAAATTATCTTTTCAAATACAAATAAAAAACTAATACACAATAATAATCTAAAATGTCATATAACTTTCACTTCCACCGATTTGTCATCTCCAACATATATTCATCTTTTAGAATCAATTGGCTTTCGGTAGCTTAGGCAGCCCTTTCTTTGCACACCAAGCATAATATTTTGTACAATTCTTCTTTACGTGTCTAACTTTATTACAAAAGAAACATTTATCATCTTGTTTGTCTTCCTTTTGCCCTTGTCTACTTTCGTCCCTCCTCTTCTTGTACAATAACACCCCTAAAGATCTCTGGAATGCTATGCTTAATGATCATGAGACTCATGCAATTTGAGGGGTCTCATTTCTCATATTTTTTCCTCTCGTCAGAGGTACTTGAGTATGTAAGAGAAAGAGTTTTCTCAATCCTTAATGCAAGGTTGAGATCCATGCAGCCAAGAATTATCTCCATGTTCTCGTCCTTAAAAATGTTTTCATTGAGGACCGAAACTGAATTTATATTAATAGATATTGAAGCAATTGTAGTTGTTTTTAGAATAAGAGAAACAAAGGAATTAAACCCATATAGTAAACTAGTGATAACTGATCTCAAGATACCTAATACACCATCAATATCAAATCTTTGGACGATAAGATTAATTATTAGGAGTATCTTGGTGTAATGATCAAACATTGATACTAAAGCATGTCCAATAACAATCCTATCTTTAGTTTTATTTATCATTGACAAGCAAAACCTTACAATTATCACACTTTTTTTATTAGATGTGTGTAACATCCCAGAAATATAGCTTTAAACTATACTTAAGAGTCCTTACATTTACAATAAACTAGAACAATTACATGAAATAAAATTAACTTACAGTTATCCTAAATATAACCATAAATTTAAAACTTTAAAGAAACCTATACTAAAACAACCATAAGAACAGACTGATCGGTCATACAAGAGGTGTATCAACCGAACAGTCCTATACTGAATAAAAATAAAAACAAGCACAAGACCGAACGATTTTACTCTAACGGAAACCATCCTCTCCTATCAGCGCCTGCTCTAGAGAACCATCCTCACCTTATGCTCACACCCATAGGGCGATCATTGCAATTACAAAGACGACCGAGCGGACAACATGACAAGACAGGAAATAAGGGTAAGCTAGTGTAATTTAATTAACTATGATAACATATAATTCAGACAAAC